GAGAGAGAGAGAGAGGGAGAAGGAGAGACAGAGAGAGAGAGAGAGACAGCGAGCGAGAGGGAGATGTAGAGCGAGAGGGAGATTTGGAGAGAGTGGGAGAGTGTGCGTGTGCCTGCGTGCGTGAGTGAGTGAGTGAGTGAGTGAGTGAGTGAGTGAGCGCGTAGGCTTTATGCCAATGCAGGTTCTATAGTTCTCATGGCTATGAACCAATGCCCCAGCACCGATACTCTTTGTCACATTGTTGCGAGTCAATGTGAACCCATACCGTGAGGATGACAATCAGGATGATCCTGAAGAGGATGATGAATGGGAGCTTGAAGGTATGCATGACGAGGAGGATGGAAGATCCGGATGGGGAGGATGGTTGATAAAGCCGATGACCAGGAGGAGATGAGAATGACGATAAGAATCCGTGTTACGCATAAGCGTAGTGGTCAAGTCACTGCCCTTAATGGTGCTGGCACTGCCAGATCCTTCGGGCTTTATGGTGCCAGTACAGTACTGTCAGATCTGTCTGTTGATGTGCCGCACCGTTACTACGTAGCACATCGGCGGTCTGCACTCAGGTTCCAGCATCGACTCCAGCATTCGTAACTGCACGCTGGGCGACCTAGCACAGCCGGCCACTTCACTTCAGCAAACAGAGTCAATCCTTCGACCCGCGCTTATATTGCTTGCGCTCCGTGTTCGAGATCAAGTCAAGCAGGGTCCTGCAATCTATCTTGCGGCTTGAGCACCTAATGTAGGGGCCTTAATAAGTAGAAAAGGGTTTTGGGGCCTATTATACTACAATTATAATAAGGAACCCCCAAAATAATATAGGTAATTGTTTAGGCCCCTATATTACTCGGACTTGACCCTGCACCGGACATCCGGTCTAACTCTCACCAGACCCCCCCGATCCGGAAAAAAACAACTCCCAACGAAATCACCAACATGCTAGAATCTGCTTCAAATCGCTTCCGGACTCTGTTTGAACACGGCCTCCTTCATCTTCTGTTGGAAGCCCTTATTGCCTGAGTGCGCAGGAGTCACGAGAATAACCAAAGACAGCAACGAAGAACAAGTGAAGTCAAGGGGAGAAGCAGCAACGCCTACGCTCAATTGAAGGAAGCCATGTGCAAATTGCTGGTAATAGTTGTAGTATCGGACCAGCCCGACGATAGATAGTACTGGAAAGACAACGAAGCAGACACGTCGTAGTTGGGAGTCACGAGGGGTGCAGCTCCCTGTCTTTCGTCTATGTCTTAGATGAAGACAGCACCGCTTCGACTTACAAGTAGGCGGATGCTGCCCTCAGAAATTTAACACATCCTCAGACAAAGAGACCCACTAGGCAAGACAACATGTTCCAGAACTATCGTAGATGATACAACCCTGACGGCGGCCCGGTTGCAAAGGTTGGAGTAGGTCACATAGCCCCGAGCATAAAGCTCCTTGCATTCCAGGGTCTGCAGGCATGTGGTTGGGCTTTCACTGTCTTGCAACTATCGTCCTTCCTGTCAAGACAAAAGCAACTTGAAGCTTGTAGATTCTGTGTCAGTGTTCATGCAGAAAACGAAAGGATCTTGGCTGCAACTACACATGACTACAGCGGTCGTCGCAGATTCTATGCCATGCTTTTGAGGCAAGCCATACTCAGACCGACTAAGATCCAAAGAGGATCCTGGTTTACGCAATAAGCGAAGCGTGTCCATGTTGTTTTGCTGATATTGCCGGCAGATGCTCTTGCCTGTTGGTGCGCTATACAGGGGCACACCCGGACTCATCTCCCACATGCAGACAGTCTGTACAGCTTCTGGCAGCTGGCAATCAAAGCGAGCCAGAGCACCAAATTAGGGGATTAGAATAGGATTTTGGGGTGATGCCGGGCGAGAGCTTGTCCCGAGCAAAGGGTTTGGGGGTATATCAGCATCGGGCATTTGTAGAGGGAATACAAGGAGATCTTAATACCAATTGTTCCGACGTCTATAATACTCACAAGTCCACACTGACTCCTCAGACATGTACAGCGATGTGGTACGGCTTGGACTCAAGAAGCAGGCGCATTGTTGTAGCCTCACCATGGCTCGCTGCCGCACCGAGAGCTGTCACACCGTCCTGCCCACAGATGGCATCAATCCGGTCTTCCTCAAGGCCAACTTCCCGTAGTAGTTTGGACCCTTCGTCACTCCCACAGATTCCAGCGCACCGCTTGTCCTTGCAAGGACGTGTGATGCATTTAGCATCCGCATGTCTGAAGGCATCGTGGTGTTACACGCGTGAATGCTCAACTGCGGCACTCTCCCGCGACAACGTTTAGTTCGAGGGGAAGCCAGGAGAAACTGGAGGGATTCGATTGCGTACGAGCCTGCCACATTGGATTGCAGTCAAGTTCTATCCAGGCTAAGTTCGCTGAACTGCTTCACTCTCTGTTTCTCTCAAGTACTCTCTGAAGTTACAGATACACCCCTCCAGTGAGTCTACCACGAACTAAACTGCACCCACTGACACCGTTCACTATACCCTGCTACAGTCCACCCTAGAGCTCTCATGTGTTGAGTTCGCGAGCCGACTCCTCTCTCCCGCTCCTGTGAATCCTGCTTGCCTGTCGAACTCTCCAAAATACTTTTGCTTTGCTGTGCTGTTTCAGATTAACAGAAACGAACCCCCTCAAGCCAGAAACCTGAAAACTCCCAACCCGCAAACCTGAAGTCCCCAGCCCCAAAACGCCAAACCAACAAGCCGTGAACCCACAACGTCCGAACAGTTGCCGCGGCCGTCCTGGTCTGCGCCCGCTTGGAGCAGCACGCGCACAGTGTCCACGTGGCCGAGACCCGCAGCCACAACAAGCGCTGTCAAATGGTACTGTCCACCTGAAGGAACCGCAGTCGGTATTCTTGACATTAGGCGTTCTTTCTGGGCTGACCTATGTTAAACATCCCAACTACCACTTCCAACCTACATCGTGGACAAACCAGAGACCGTTGGAACACACGTTGCAGGGCGGTGCTATTTCCGTACTTTGGACAAGCTTCCCCTCTCTGCCTCCACACTCCTTCCCTCCCTCCCAGCTCTCGGCAACACCAGTATACACACAGACACGCTCACACATGCCTCCAGGTACAAATCTGTATGTAGCCATGAACTTGCTAATCGCTTCCTCGTCCACGTGCTCAAACCTAAGGATGACTGCCAAGCGGCAAGCCAAGTCAAAATCAGCGCCTGCTTCCAGCAGCAGACGAGCGGTCTCCATTGAGCCGACCAATGATGCCCTGCATTTTTTCAGCATCTGGCGGCTCATGAAGCACACTTTTAAGACCTTTTGGGCTACTGGAGCTATAGTCGCTGTAGTCTGCATTTTCCTCTTGCCCGGTCTCCTGTAAAGCGGTGTTTCTCCGTTCCGGTCGTTGGCGTCTGGGTCCAGGGGCCTCTGGAGCAGCTCCTCATGGAGATAGAACGAGCATTGGACAAAAAAGGCAAAAACGCTGACCTTGCCAAACAAATTGCAGGCATGTCCGCGTGCATGCATATATATATATATCTAGACTACTTATCATGCAGACAGAGAGAGAGAGAGAGCGAGATAATATACACAATTATTCACTTACTATGTGCTGACTTATATCTGTTTATTCATAATGATGGCATATCAGAGAGGCGTAAACATAGGTATCGCTACCGCTCCAGCTACGACTACGACAAGAAGCACTACTTCCACCACAACAACCGCCACAGCTACTGCTGCTCCTCCGGCGACCGTCGTCGCCATCCACTGCGTCGACAACGAGTCCACGACAAGGACTCCAACCACACAGCTACTACAGATGCAGCTGCTGCCGCTGCTACTGCCGTTGCTGCTGCGCCTCCTATTACTATTATTATTATTACTACTACTACTACTACTACTACTACTACCACTACCACTACCCCTACCACTACCACTACCACTACCACGACCACGACCACCACCATCACCACCACCACCACCACCACCACGACGACTAGTAGTAGTAGTAGTAGTAGTAGTAGTAGTAGTAGTACTACCACTACTACTACTACTACTACTACTACTACTACTACTACTACTCCTACTGCGACCGCGACCGCGACCGCGACCGCGACCGCGACTGTGACCGCTAGTGCTACTGCTACTGTTACTGCTAAGTGCTGACTGCTACCTGCTACCTACTACTGTTACTGCTACTGTTACTGCTACTGCTTCTGCTGCTGCTGCTGCTGCTGCTGCTGCTACCACCAGCACTAGAATACTGTTAGGGCTACTCCAACTACGACTACGAAATAGACTCTAGTAGCATGGACAACGACCAATCACATTGATGCTAGAAACCCAATCAGCCATCACGCCAATCACACGTGAGAACCCACTCCGCGTCCTCTACCAGGGACACCTCGCCCTCTCCAGCTGCATCCGCGAGCTCGTCTGCCTGTTGCTGCGATGCGCTCGAAAAGGGCAGCAGGACCAGCTGCAAGTCGCTGGTACCTTCAAGCATGGACATGTCATCCAGAGCACCTCGGCTGCGACTTCATCTCACAGAGATATGAGTGGCAGAAGTTTTTGGCAGCCATGTCAGTCGCCATCATCGACGTAATTGTCGCCGTTGTCGCAGTATAGAAATACATAACAGTAGCACTAGCAGTAGTAGTAGTAGTAATAGTAGTAGTAGTAGTAGTAGTCGTGGTGGTGGTGGTGGTGGTGGTGGTGGTGGTGGTGGTGGTAGCGGTAACTGAAGCAATCACAGTCGCCGTGGTAGAGGATTAGAAGCCACAACGGGGAAGATACATGTTGTAGCTGCCTCAGGTAGCGAACCCGGCAGTGAAACAATGCAGCGTTGTGTTCATGACGGCTGCTCTGCGCGAGGTTCTGATTCATATATTATGGTTTTGATACTGCTGCCCTTCTGAGCCCCAGCCCAAACTCTAGAGGCTCAAACCCTAAACTCCTAAACTGTGGCGAGGCGCTGCCGTCTTGCAAAAGCCTTTGCCTGAAGCGCGACAGGCCACAGCAGCGCTGTAGTTCCCGCTTCAGGGCCTTCCGGGAGTTTTCCGTAAACTTGGGCTGAACGCAGGGGACCTCATCAGGGCCTCGTGAGCCTTTACAAGGTTTTACAAGGGTATGAAGGCTCTGCAAGAGGAAGTTTTTGGAAAACTTGTTGGGCAATCATGCTGCGGGCAGTGGCGCAGAGAAATCAGAACGTGTGGTCTGGTGTTTGAGGTTGAGCCATTTCTGAATTACACCTTGCCCTCCACGACGTGATTTACGCTGAAACATCTTGCCCAAACGCAGACCTCTGACGACTCTGAAGCCCGAAACCCCAACTACGCAAAACCCGAACCCGACATGCAGAACCGCCGTCAATCCGCAACACTGACCTTGAATCCAAGGTCTTGGGACAGTTTTCACTAGGATTCAAGGCATTCGGGCTCAAGTTTCAGGGAGAGTTCGGATCACAATCGATGACTCTGACTAATATGCTGCGAAAAGTCGAGTGTGTTCTTTGAATCCGCATTCTCGCCACCACGTAAGCGAGTAAACCCTATACGAAATATGCCCCGAACCCTAAACTCCCTAAATTCCCAAACCCTACACTCTGAACCCTAAAAGCCCTCAAACCCCCAAAGCCCTCAACTCGTCACCCATCCCCAAATTGCGACCGACATTTTTCGTGGCGCTTCGCTACTCTAGGGGCCTTAATAATGGGTTTTGGGCTCCTTTACTTATAGTATAGCCATAATACGGAACCCTAAGGACTAACACTGGTCATTATTTCGGCTGCCATACTCTTCGAAGGCCTTGACGCTGCTTAGCTGCTGCGCAGGTATGGCCGCCAACCTCAGCTGGCCAAGTTGGGCGGAACCCAGGTCTGACAAATTGATAGGTTAGGTTTAGGGTTTAGGGTTTAGGGTTTAGGGTTTAGGGTTTAGAGTTCTGGGGGCTCCTTAGTATAACTATGGTAGAATAGTTTTCCGTTTCATCTGGTCCCTTTGATATTGCCAGGATGTAGATCAGGGCCAGCCAGGAGATGCAGACTCGTGAGCTGGCTTCTCATAACACTGCTCCGCCAAGCAACTCTTCCCCTGAAACCTGCCAGATGTGGAGCATCTTGGCCGGAAGAGTCACGCAAAGGGGGGGTTCTTCAAGATGTAACCAGCGAAATGGTGTTAGAGAGTTGAGGGTTTAGGGATTTCTCGGGTGCCTGGGGAAAGACATCTCAACCAAAGCCAACTGGAAGGCATACTCGCAGTATCTCGGTAGCGACCGTGAAAGCAAGTATCATACGGCAACAAGAATCCTGCCACTTGCTACGACTTCTACTACTTCTACTACTACTACTACTACTACTACTACTACACAACTGGACTTGAGACGAAGACTACCAGATCAATCGGAACAACCCCCCCACGTCAGGTGGAGGCTTGCGCTTCACCTGCTAACCATGGAACTGCTGGGAGCCAGAATCGGTCGGACAAGCAACAGGATGGCAAACTCGGGCTTGGGGTTTGGGGCTTAGGGTTCAGGGTTTAGGGCTTATAGGGTATGAAATATAGGGTTGGGTCTATCCGGTTTAGGATATAGGGTACAGGCTTGAAGGGTAGGGGTCGGCTTGCTGGTCAATGGGGATTGGAGCCCATGCCTCTGCAACATCGCCGACGGGAAGGCTGGGGAAAACAAGCTACGGGAGGTGAGCCGGGATGCTATGCTACCACAACTAAACCCTAACCCCTAAACCGTAAACCCTTGCTGCCACAAGGTTTAGAGTGTATGGTTTAGGCAGGTTTGGCGTAGGGGCCCAACAACTCCGAAGATCCGGTTTCAAGGTGCGAACGACGCTGTTTCAAATGCTGCCACATGAAGATCTTTTTACTGGGCTCAACTTGGAAGACATAACCATACAGACATGCATTCATACGTACAGATGTACGCAGAACCTGTACAGATGCTTCGTGTAGTTATCTATGTTTACACGCACACAAAATCGCTTGTGTCACTCCAGCTCTGCATACTGGATCTCTCATCACATTGTCATGTGTATCATTGCGACTACTTGAAGCCTGCATGTGGCCCCCTCGAATCTCTCAGTCCTGCATCTTGGCGTGCAGCACCTGGCGCAGCTCAGAGTACCTGGCGAATTTAGTATACTAAGGCCGACTATAAGGACGGGATTCAATCTATCATCATGTCTACATATTCTCTCTAAGCATTTTTTGACCTGGCGAGCGACAGATCCAAGTACGGCCAGTAGGGCATGAAGGAAGGCATACAACAGTGCACATGTCTGTCTAGTTCGAAGTCGACGAAGATGTGCTATTCTCGTCGAAATACACCGACCACAGCAAGGAGGGAAGAACCGGAATGATTCAATGGCATGTTATTCATAGGCATGATCACAATCACGGATGTCGAGTAACAGGAGCCCGTAATGTAGGGGGTCTTGGGGGCCATTATACTATACTTATACTCAGAAACCCCCAAAATAGTATAGGTAATTCTTTAGGCCCCCTATTTTTTTTTAAAGGCAAAGGACTCGAAGTGGCGCACGCTGCCAGGCTCGTCACGGCACAACTACCCGAAGAAGATTTCAGGCTTCGAGCCAGCTCCTCCGTCAAAGTTTAATGTTTAGGGCTTAGGGTTTTAGGGTTTAGGGTTTAGGGTTTTAGGGTTTAGGGTTTAGGGTTTTAGGGTTTAGGGTTTGGGGTTAGGGTTTAGGGTTTAGGGGCCTCAAGAATATTACCAATACTACTTTCGGGGGTTCCTTTCTTATATTTACAGTATACTGGGCCCCAAAACCCTATTTGTAATTATTAAGGCCCCTATATTATTGATTGGACCCAGCTCCAATGTCCCAACGAAAGATGTGCTAAAACTTTCAACCTGATTCTCAGCTCGCGACATGGGTTTGGGTTTCAGAAAACAGTATCACTGGGTGAGCAGGGCTGCCCCTAAGCCCAAGACCCCAAACCCTAACCCGACTGATCCGCGGGTTTTGAGCGGGTTCTCCTGGTTGGCTGGAACGCCCAGCCGAAGCAGCTGCATGCAGCAGCTTGCACCTGCAACTATACAAAGGGAACTGGATTAACACATCTGCCATCTCGGTTCCCTCTGGCTCAAAAAGACTGTATGCCTATGAACAAGTAAGAAGAAGATATATCTATCCATCTGTCTGTCTGTCTTTAGATGTACGGTATATGATGTTGGATTACATTTGCATGTAACATACCATAAGAAGCACGTGAGAGGCCGGCACCGGAGCTTCAGATTTGTGGTGCTCTGTTCCAGCTCAGGTTGGCGCTTTCCAGCTTTCGGAAGAGCTCAGGATTAGTTTTCCGGGTTGGGGCTTTGGGGTTTAGGCTCTAGGTGTCAAGTAGGGTTTATTTAGATTGAAGCAAAGGTTTCAAGAGTGAGCCTGCTTCCCAAGGATCGACGGTTGAGGGCTTCCCTAACCGGTTAGTCCGTTTAGGGTTGTGGACTGCCAGCCCACTCCGCTGCTGCCATAAGAACTCTGACCTCGAACCAGGAAATCGAAGAGAAGCGAATCCCAAGCCCCAAGTTCATCACCGGCAAAACAACATAAATCGTTCATCTTCCTCATCACCCCGAACCCAAAGCCTTAAGCCCCATAGCCCCCGTACCCTCCCAACTCCCCCTGGCCATCGGTGATCTCCAGTGCCCAGGATGGATCGAATCGAAGAACCTGGCGCTCGTGGACTGCCTCGCAGGGCGGTCACACTTTGACGGAACAGCAGATTTTAGGGGACAAGACTTACAGCCGTAGGCACTTCGAGTAAAGCCTTCGGGCCTTGGGCTTTTGAGCTCAACCGGAATCAGAGCCCTGGATGGATCCTTTCCCTAAGGCTCAACATAGCCCAAAAGCTCTACATGGTGTGGTCTTTGGGCCCAGCAGCCTCAGAATATGAGTCCTTAGAGCTTTGGGGTTTCGGACACATCGATGGGCTCTGCATCCTGACACTCTCCACTTCCGGCAAGGAGGAGGCCCCGGCCTGCCAGTAGGGATCTTCGCGCCACTCCTGGATGTAATTTCGGTTTATTTCGGAGCTCGGGGTTCAAGGATTTTGTTTTTTTAAGATGTGGTTGAAGGTTGTCGGAATCCAAGAAGGCTTTGGTTTAGGATCCTAGGATTGATGGACTTATAGTGAAAGGTGGGCCCAGTATGGAGCAAGAAGCGATGGAACAAGCACCTGCCTTGTCAGATCACGAAGCCCCTGCCCTGGTTCATAGGATAGGCGGCTAATGTAGGGACCTTCATAATTACCTACACTATTTTGGGGGTTCCTTGTTATAATTATAGTATACTATAGCCCAAAAGCCTATTCTAGTGATTAAGGCCCCTATATTATGGCTGGCATCCGATACTGCTGCAACTGGCATCACACCCTCGCTGCTATGCTGACACTTCATCTTCCGAGGCTCCAAGGCAGAATCTGTCAATCTCTAGGCCTTGGGCTCAAAGCGAAACGTCGCTTGAGCTAATGTCAAAGAGTAGGAGTGGGTGGCGACACTAGCAACAGTAATAGTTGAATCGTTTTAAGGGTGTGCAGAAAGTAAGCATCATGTCTGATCTCCCCACGTGTTCAGCAAGGGAACAGGGACATGGCCTCGCCTCCGGGATGATCACGGAGTCGTTGTCCAACCTCCGTCGGAGGAAAGGGCTGCACGCGCTCTTTTCTACCGATACTCGCTTATGACTCGAAGATCTCGGTTTTGGAGGTCGGGAATCTGCAAAACGTTAGGCCCACCAAGGCCGAGCTTTGCGCAAATACTCTCTCAAGTCTGGGAAAGCTGTTCGTAGGAATGACATCTGGAAGCCGCTATTGAGCCGAGGTCTAAAGTGGATGTTTGGGGCTGAGCCAACCCACAACTTGCCCCAGCTAGGCCTGAGCAGCGCAGCACAGGCAAGACCTCGGGAGCTCGTGGTTGCGATTCCGGGCAGATATGTATATATCCCTCTGGATGTGACGCGGCCTCTTTGGTTGCTGGTGATGATTCCGATGAGCACAATGAATGGGACGATGAGGATACGACTCAGGCTGCGAGTTTCCGGCTCCCAGAGATGGGACATGCTCAAGAGGCGGCCAAGACAGCACAGATTCAAGACGATACTGAAAGAACAAAGCTGCGCAATGAGCGGTAAGAAATTTGGTGGGCATGAAGATCCCCGAACGCGTCCTTCAAGACAGATGGCTGCCCCTCTGCCACCTCGGGCCCGGGCTGTTTTCATCTGCAGCCTCTCCCTCCGCCTTCGTCACAGCTGCTGTTATCTGCTGCCGCAGCCTTGGAGGAGTTGTCCCGGAGCTGTCCCGACACACACGTCACGAAACTGTAACCAGGTATTCCGAATGGGTATTCAAAGTGACCCGACTCCTCCTCCCTGACGATTCTTGAAATGCGGTTTATTCAGAGAGGTCGTGGATCCGGCGTGGGAATGCAAGAACCATGGCACTTTGTTCCGACGTCTGCCAAGCAAAGTACATGTAGCTTCTCTCTGAAATCGCCGCGGCCGAAAAATTACTTGAGACCGAAGTGGATATCTCTCAGCATCCAAGCTCCCATAGTCTTGGGACCCGGTGCCAGCGGTATGGCCAAGCAAGTCCGGCAGCCTCTGAGAAGCTTGCGTGCCGCACTCGGCCCCGAACAGATCGAGCTGCCTCGCAATGCGGGAGGAGAAACCACGAAAAGCCAGTGATGCAAAGCGAGCCTGGAGGCGTAAGACCGAATGGAAAAGAGGACACTGGGAATGAAACGGCACGAACGCACATCGCTGCTCAGCACTCAATGGAAAACACTACATCAGCCCCGTACAAGCGAGATACTAACATTCATCACTGTGACTCGGCTTCTTCTCATCAAATTGCTGACAATCATACTATATGTTCAGAGCCGGTGACTACATTACCATGTTCGGAGCATTCCCGAAAACCATTGTGCAGATGAGGGTATCTCCACAATTAGATACACGCGAGCTTCATGAACATGTAAACCTTCGCAAATGCAGAACGAGCTGTATGTGTATGCCTAGAAAACACTTGTATTCACAGTTCACTTCATGCTTATGCTTAACACACACAGACAAGCACGCCCGCCAGGTCTCTAAATCTAAACTTCGTGCAATATTGTACCGACATGACATAAAGTTGTGTTTTGAGAAGATATGTAGGCACAAGAGGAGACTACTCCGACTCTTTCTCCGACTGAAGCCCGGGCCTTTTCACGGCATCCATGAGCTCGCTGCGATAGGCTTCGCGGTTGTCCTTCGCGAGAGCTCTCAGCTTCGCGCGCCCGACCTTCCACCCTCCTAAACCCCAAAGCCTCATAGCAGAGGAAGCTAGGGGGCGTATCAAAGACAGCGCAGCAACAGTTAGCGACATGTCGTCGGCAACGGGAGATGGTGGTGGTGGTCGTCGTGGTGTGGTGGTGATGTTGGCGCTAGTGCTATTGCTGGTGCTGGGGCGTGTGCTATTGCTAGTGATATTGCTATGTTTAGGAGTAGTAATTGTGCGTAGTGGTGGCTATCACTGGCATGCGTAGTCGCCGTCGTTAGCAGTCGTATTGACAGTGGTAGTGGCAGTGGATATTGCACTGGCAGTGGTGGTGGTTGTTGCAGGAGCCGTGGGATGTTAGGAGCAGCAGCAAAGGTGGCAAAGGAGCTCCCCTAAACCCTAAACCCTAAACCCTCCTCGTCCGGCCAATCTTCGGCAACATGTGCGCAGTAGCAGCGGCTATCCGGCCCCTGGCGAGATGGGGCGCAAGAACTTGGAATGCGCAATCTTTGAACTTGGGCACTTGGGACAGAGGAGCCATGGCCCGGTAAATGAGTGCTCTTGCAGTGCTTATGTGCTGAGGACTGCAGCTCATTCTGTCTTCTAATGATACTCGCGTTCCCAATGACTGCTGCATGACTATGTCGCCTAGGTTGTCGGCGGACTTTGCATCACTCGCAGTTGTAAGTGAAGATACCCGAGCTCAACGGACCTGCATCACAATAGACCCGCAAGCTACATCCAGCTTTGTGCAAGAGAACCGTCAACGTCTAAGCTCGTGGTGCAGACGGGCGCGGCCTTGGTGGCATTCAACAGATACTTCGCCTGCAAAGAGGGAAGTGAGAAGTTCGAAAAGCCACAGCCGAAATGCTTTGCACATGTGTGGACCAATCCTAGCAGCGCGTTTCGGAACCTTGCATCCTGTGTTGTGTGTGCAGAGAGGGAAAGCAAACCGCAACCTTTATCACCCTGAGTGCTGACGGTTGCTGTCTGAGGTCTCGACCAGGATCTTCATATCTCCTTCGAGGGGATCCGTCGTGATCCTGGAACAGGTCGGATCTGACATGGCAGCTCAAGTTCAACGATGCGCAGACTCAATGCGAACACGGATACAGCCTATCAGACCGATCAGTCTCCATTCACTAGTATAGTAAATGCGAAAAAAGCAGACACAAACTGCGAGCGCGAGACGAAGCTAGGCCTGCAGTTTAGTCTCGTGCGGTGCGGAGGCTAACTAAGGCTATACCGGGGCTGAAACCCCCTGAGGCTGAAGATCCGACGGATGAGTAAAGTCAAAGAAGGACGATGGCTCCGCAACGGAACAGCTTCGCCAAGGCCCCCGGCATCTGTATAAGGACCTTTGCCAACCGTTGGAGCAGATGATTCCGCACCCTCAGCATGCGAGATCGGGGGCTTCCCTACAAAATTGCTGGTTTCCATCTTCACCCAAACAATAGCCAAGAATGCAAAACAGCTTCGAGCATGTCGCAGACTAGAGCACAATTCTTACAGTGTAGGGGTCAGGAGTTTACTTTACTACTGTACAACTAAAAAACTAAGACTATACTGGCTTTCATGTTCTACTGCCAGAATACGCAACACGATCATGCCCTAAAATCCAATGCTACAAGCTTGTTCTAGACCATAAGCATAGCATGACTGCTAGAGGTTGAAGGTGTAGGGACGTCGACCTCTGTAGTCCGGGGATCACGCATCCGACCCTCCTTGGCGGCTGTGAGCACCATCCGAGGATTGAAGAAGAGGCCTCAGCGATCCAGAAGATAGGGGGGGCCTTATAGTATGCAGAATACTGTTCATGTAGAAGCTTCCTTTAATGCTTTAAGGGGCTTCCATCAGGTTTCGTCTAGGGGGCTTGATAATCAGAATAAGGTTTTGGGGTCCATCCTGTAGTACTTCTCGGAGGGAAGCAACAAAGCGGAGTACTCAGAACCAATTCTCGTTCAGAGATTCTGGTGCAGGGAGTTTTGCATGCGCAGGCTCGTCTCAACTCAGTTCGCACCACCTGCGATTGGCTTGAAAAACACGGGTAGAATGCATGTTGCCCCCTCAGCACCCTCGATTAAGCACGCACGTCTTGCTTATGTAGATGACAGACGGCTCCAAGAAGCGCGCAGAGTCCCGAAAGCCACCACTGACAGACGGCTGATCACTAAACAGGCACAGGCTACACTTAAGAAAGCCGGGATGCTCTCATGAAGGCGAAGCACGCGCTGGAGGGCCTGGACGAAGACCAAACTGTGCGAAAATTGTTTGTGCTGCCTTTGCTCAGCATCATGTTTGGATACCAACCAAGTCAAGGAAGCAAAATCTGCTCAACCAGAAACCCGAGCCTAATTCTGGAATGAGAATTTGTGCTTACCTATTAATTTCGGGGGGACTTACTTGTGTTGCGCAGCCTTGGGCGTATACTTTCAACTGTTCATCACATGTAAGGTAGGGGCGTTAATAAGTAGAATAGGGTTTTGGGGCATATTATACCATAACTATAATGAGGAACCCCAAAATAGTATAGGCAATTATTAAGGCCCCTATATCAGCTTTTCCCGCTCCTCGGGAAAGCTGTGTGGTTACTTTGCCCAAGCCCGGTCACCGCCCTGCCTCCATGCTGTTCGCGGACTCCAGGAGCTGCACAAGCTGCATAGGATCCTCCTGCAGGCTTTGGGCATTGGTATGAGTAACTTAGTATTCCTATTAGTATTAGTAATCAATATAAATATCAGCATAATAAAAACGGGAGTTGAAGCAAAACAGGAGAGTTTGGGCTACATCTCCCGTTGAGCTGCAGAGGCAGCAGGGGAAGTCTTGGTAGCTCCGAGTGGTTCATACTCCGGGTCAGCACAAGGCACGGCCAGCCTCTGCCAGCTCGATCAACTCGTCTGCCGTCCACCTGCAAATTGCCAAACTTCTTGCCGATACAGATGTTGCCAGTTCACCCCTCCCCTTTACACCTCTGTTACATGTGTTGGGTCCGTGTCTTGATCCTAAGACCCTCAGAGTTCTTGTGGAAGTGTGGATGGGCTGATGGCGCTTCTCAGCATCATCAATGCAAACAACGGCAGTGGCATGTGAAAGCTCCCAGATTATATGATCTCTGCAGAATCGCCCCCCAGCGATGCCGAGAGACTAGTGCTACAATCCTGATGCTCGGAAAACCGTTGACATGCTGAACGACGTCAAGCACCGGGTGACCTCCTCACCTTATGGAAACTGCAACTCTTCTTCACTTCTGAAGTCTGCACTGGAATCTGGGTCCGATCAAACGTGAATCTTGCAAGTTGCCCGCTCTAACTCCCCTCTTCACGCGGAGCCATGTCGACAAAGGAACGATCTAAGTCTATCAGTATTTGTTGCCTTGCTGTCTAGCTTTCTACTGATGGTTCTCCGCCCGCCTCGGCCGGAGCATCCTGAGATCAATCGCAGGCTGGCTTTGAAGGCTTATTCAAAAGCTGCGACATGCGAAGAACTCAGCACGGTGTTTCGGTTGCCATACATCTTTCGTAGTGTCTAACCTGAACCGCCGTATACCAGGACTCCTGAGCAAGGCTAGAAGCCATCTGCGGTTTATCGCATGTTCACTCTTCGAATCGCTTGGATGTCATACTACTCTTACTGCGACAGAAGCAGCAGCAGAAGAAGGAGCAGTAGCAGTAGTAGTAGCAGCAACAACAACAACAACAACAACAACAGCGGCTACTACTACTACTACTACTACTACTACTACTACTACTACTTCTACTACTACTACTACTACTACTACTACTCCTGCTGCTGCTACTACTACTACTACTACTACTACCTCTAAGACTACTCCTACTACTACTACT